AAACTCTAAACCGGAGGAACTCAAACCCCTCCCCACCCCCTGCAAGAAGCCCTTCCAGCTCATGGGCTTTGTCGAGTTTTAGGGTTTAGGGTTTAGGGTTTAGGGTTTAGGGTTTAGGGTTTAGGATTTACGGTAGAGTGCTTAGGGTTGAGGGTTTAGGGCGGCCCTTGCCTCTCCAACTTCAGCTGGTTCCCCGGATTTGGCTCCACGAGGAGCACCTGACACCCGGAATGTTCGGGCTAGGAGGGGTGTGGGGGTTGAGAATCTAAGTCAGGGGGTTTAGGGTTTAGGGTTTAGGGTTTAGGGTTTAGGGTTTAGGATTCCCCCTCTAAACCCTAAACCCTAAACCCTAAACCCTAAACCGCAGCAAGAGAAAAGACACAGAACGCTGCCGGCCCGCGGAACCTTGGGCTTCGCGGCCGCAGCAGCGCGGGGAGCCATCCGAGTGCCGTGGAGCCTTGGAGATTCGTGGGTTTAGGGTTTAGGGTTTAGGGTTTAGGGTTTAGGGTTTAGGGTTTAGGGTTTAGGGTTTAGGGTTTAGGGTTTAGGGTTGTGGGCTTGGGGTTGTAAGTTTCGGTTCCAGGGTGTAGGGCTTTAGGTTTAGGCTTCAGGGTATCAAACTCAGGGTTTAGGGTTACGCGAGGGTCTCAGGGTTCCGTGGTTAGGGCTGGGTCGAAAGCGCCATTCGCCCCCTTTAGGGTTTAGGGTTTAGGGGTTTAGGGGTTTAGGGGTTTAGGGGCTTAGGGGCTTCGGGGTTTAGGGGTTTAGGGGTTTAGGGGTTTAGGGGCTTAGGGTCCAAGATTGCCCCCAAACCCGGCTCAACCTGACATGACCCTGGAGCCGCCAGTCCTGGAGCCTTCTGGCCCAGGTTTCGGATTCGCACAGGGGTTTACAGGTTTAAGGGCATTTACGTGTTTAAAGGTACGAACTGTTTAGGGCCCGTTCAAGCCGCGCAGGCCAAGCAGATTTGCGAGGCGCAGACCTCTTGGCGTAGACCTGCTTGCCAGCCATGTACATCAGGCAGTAGGGCACCTCCTTCACGCCGTACCTCTTTGGTGGGTTGGGGGGGGGAACTCTAAACCCTAACCCCTTAGTGGTTTCGATTGCAGCCAGGAACTTCCCAAAAAAGCGGCAATGGCATGAACTCCAACCCCGAAGGCCCTAAAAGCCAGGAAAAGATTTGGATTGTAAGGGCTCGTCTACGAACAGAAACCCACGACATTCATTTAGGGTTGGCTGAGGGTTTAGGGCTACCCAGCCTAAACCCCAGTACCCAAGTCTGGGGGAACCCTAAACCCTAAACCCCAAACCCTAAACCCTAAACCCCAAACCCGAAACCCGAAACCCCAAACCCGAAACCCTAAACCCTAAACCCCGATGCCGAGACCCCAGCTGGTCTCCAAAGGAGCCAGCTTCCGTCAGCTCCACCGCCACCAACTTCACCGGCCTTCGAAGCTCTGGCAGAGCTTAGGGGTTTAGGGGTTTGGGGTTTTAGGGTTTAGGGTTTAGGGTTCGGGGTTTAGTGCTTAGGGTTTTGGGAGTCAGGTTTAGGAGTTCGGTGTTCAGGGTTTCGGGTTGAGGGTTTAGGGGTTTGGGGGCTTCGGGGGTTCAGGGGTTCGGGTTTTGGGGGTTTTGGGGGGTTTAGTGGCTTGGGGGGCTTAGGGGTTTAGGTGAAGTTTAGGGTTTAGGGGTTTTTGGGGTTTTAGTGTTGCAAAAGATCTAATGGAAGCCTTCTTGTTGTAAAGTTGTGCTAAATAGTGCTAGATAGTGCTTAAATGGTGCTTAAATAGTGCTTAAATAGTGCTAAATCGTGACAAATAATGCAAAATAATGCTACACTGTGCTAAAGTAATTTTAAATAGTGCTAATTGTGCAGAGAGCGCCAAAAAAATTCTAACTCGTGTGAAAACAAGCACAAAGAAACACCATCATTAGCACAAAGCGGCCACATGACAAACTTTGCAGCCAAAATGGCCAAGACGGCCAAGAACTACCTGCAAAGAACGCTCTCAGACCTAGGTAGTGCCCCATCTACCAGTAATTATGGCTTGAAAGGCTTCCATGATATTCAACCTAATTAGTGGTTTAGGGGTTGGGGCTGCCTTACCGCCCCCTACATACACCCCCTTTGAAGGGATCATAAATCGGGCACCTCATAAGAAGCACTAGGTAGGGGTTTCTAAACCCTAAACCCCTAAACCCTAAACCCTAAACCCTAAACCCTAGCCCCTTGTCCTCAGACCCGCACAGGGGCCCGCTGCCGACTCCAGAGCAGAACCTGGAACCACGGCAAGTGTTCAGGGTGATTGGGGTTTGGGGGTTTTGGGGTTTTGGGGTTGTGGGGTTTAGGGTTTAGGGTTTGGGGTTTGGGGTTTGGGTTTTTGGGGTTTGGGGTTTGGGGTTTGGGGTTTAGGGTAATTGGGGTTTAGGGCTTATGGTAATTGGGGTTGAGTGTTTAGGGTTTAGCGGTTCATCGGGGCAAGATGGGGTCGGCCGGGTCAGCACCGGGTCGGTTGCAGAAGCTTTTTTGGGAGCTTGGGACCTTTCTGAACCCTAAACCCTAAACCCTCAACCCCACTTACCCTAAACCCTGAGGATTGCTCCGAAGCTTCTTGCAGTCACCTCGGCTGCTAAACCCTGTTCAAGGCCCATCTGGCTCTGGAGACTTGGCCTCTCCTACAAAACCGCTTAGCTCTCGAAGTCTCTTTCATCAAGCAGCACTCGCAATGGCAAGCAAGAGATATAGCATCGTTTCCATGCAAAACAAGAGGGGACCCCTAAACCCTAAACCCGAAACCCCAACACTTCAAGTTCATTCTTGAGCTGGGGGCAGGGGGTAAACGAAGGCGCCCATGCTAAAACCCTTCAAGCCCCTAAACCCTAAACCCTAAACCCTAAACCCTAAACCCTAAACGCTTTGAGCCCCCAAAAAACAACGGTTTGGCGCTTGGGCGCCCGGCTTCTGCCAGAGGGCGGCATGTGCCTTCTCCACCAGAAGCCGCGCCTGAGCAACGGGTCGGGGGGTTTAGGGTTTAGGGTTTAGAGTTTAGGGTTCAGGGTTTAGGGTTTAGGGTTTAGGTTTAGGGTTTAGGGTTGAGAGTTTAGGGTCTAGGGTTCAGGGTTCAGGGTTGAGGGGTTTAGGGGTTTAGGGGGTGGGGTTGCAAACAAGGGGTCCGGGCTCTGGGGATTAAGGCAATTTAGGCTTGCTTTCTGCGGCTTCAGGATTCGTTTCGGTTTGAGGGTTTTGTTGGGTTCTTCTCAGGGTTTAGGCAGTAAACCCTAAACCCTAAACCCTAAACCCTAAACCCTAAACCCTAAGCTTGGGGGGAGCATTTGGGTTTTAAGCTTTGGGTTTGGACTGTAGAGGGTTGGGTGGTGGGAGCTTTGAGGGCGAGGTGGTCTAGGGACACCCAAAACCCGAAACAGCCCCCAAAAAAATCGGGGAACAGCTTTGGGCATCTTCCTTACCACCCTGAGACCCCGGCAGAAGAAAGGCACGAGGAGATTGCAGGAAGATCCGAGATACCAAAGCCTAAGCCCGAACCATAAACCTAATCCCTAAAACCTTGAAACCCTAAAACCCTAAAACCCTAAAACCCTAAAACCCTAAAACCCTAAAACCCTAAAACCCTAAAACCCTAAAACCCTAAAACCCCAAAACCCCAAAACCCTAAAACCCTAAAACCCTAAAACCCTAAAACCCCAACACCCTAAACCCTAAACCCAAAAAGAAGTCCGTCCAAGGCATCCCGTGCTCCGGGCGTAGTTGCTCTGCTCCTTGGCGTAGGCCTTGCAAGGAAAGTGGCCCCAGAACCCCTGTAAGGACCCATCGGGTTTCGAGTTTAGGGGTTTGGGGTTAGGGGGTTAGGGGTTTAGGGTTTAGTGCTTAGGGCTTTAGGGTTTAGGGTTTGGGGTTTGGGGTTTTGGGGTTGAGGGGCTAACGGTTCAGGGTTTGGGACTTCACGGCGTACATCCGAGTGACCTATATCCCCCCAACCAGAAAGCTACGAGCAGACCCCATGCTTGCGAAGAAAGTTCAGTCCTGTCAGGCTTTCGGGTTTTAGGATCAACCCCCCAAACCCCCCAAACACCCCCAAACACCCTACACCCCCTAACCGCCCCCCAAAAACACCCCAAAAAGACCCCCAAAAGACCCCAAAAACACCCCAAAAACACCCCAAAAACAACCCAAAAAAACCCCCCCAAAAAACAAAACACCCCAAGCCAAGTGAACCAGGGGGCCGCCAGGCAGATGACGACCAGAAGCCTTGCAAGGTGCAGCTTGGGGTTGAGGGTTGAGGGTTTAGGGTTGAGGGTTGAGGGTTGAGGGTCTAGGGTTTAGGGCTGAGGGTTGAGGGTTGAGGGTTGAGGGTTCAGGGTTCAGGGTTGAGGGTTCAGGGCACCCGGCCCTGGATTCGACCCTCTACACCCCCCCAAACCCTAACTAAACCCTAAACCCTAAACTGGAAACCCTAAACCCTAAACCCTAAACCCTAAACCCTAAACCCTGAACCCTGAACCCTAAACCCCAAACCCTATAAACCCTAAACCCTCAAACCCAACTCGAGGTGCAGCCACGGAGCGTGCCGTTGGACGTATTCTCGGTGATGAGGTCCGGGAGCTGAGATCGAGTTGGGAAGTTGGGGGTTTAAGGTTTAGGGTTTAGGGTTTGGGGTTTAGGGTTTAGGGTTTCGGGTTTGGGGTTTCGGGTTTAGGGTTCTCGAGTTTAGGGTTTAGGGTTCAGGGTTTCGAGTTTAGGGTTTAGGGCTCAGGGTTTCGGGTTTAGGGTTGAGGGCTGAGGGCTCAAGGATTCGGATGTGGGGGCTGAGAAGGCGTAGTCGAGCTACCTCACCCCCACATGAACCCGAGCACTCCTGAAAAGCCAATGCGCCCCTGAAGCCCGTCACCTCCCTAAACCCTAGAAAAACCCTAAACCCTAAACCCTAAACCCTAAACCCCAAACCCTAAACCCCTAAACCCCTAAACCCTAAGCATGCGGCCTTCAACTGCGAGACTTGCGCGATGCTCTTCGGAGCATTCACTGTGGGCTTGGCGTTGGCAAGGCGCTCCTGTCATGGAGGTTTTGGGGGCTTAGGGTTTAGGGTTTAGGGTTTAGGGTTTAGGGTTTAGGGTTTAGGGTTTAGGGTTTCGGGATTAGAGCCCTCGAACCTGTAATCCAACTAGAACCCCCGAGCCCTGCACACTAAGCCCCAGGCCCTAAACCCTAAACCTCAAAAACCCTCGCCAAAGCCCTGCATTCACAAAACTCCACCTGCTGGCAAGGCTCTCAGCCACATGGGATCCTCTACCACCTTCCTCAAGAAGGCATATTTGGGGTTTGGGATTAACCCTAAACCCTAAACCCTAAACCCCAAACCCTAAACCCTAAACTCTAACCCTAAACCCTAAACCCCAAACCCTAAACCCCTAAAAGGTTCGTCCCCTCGACCCGCAATGGCCTCCGTGCACTTGCCGCTGACCCGGGAGATCTTCCAGGACCCTGCGGAGCCCGCCTAGGAGTAGGTGACTAGGCCGTAAGGATCAGGGTTAGGGATGGGTTGAGGGCTTAGGGCTTAGGGCTTAGGGCTTAGGGCTCAGGGTTTAGGGTTTAGGGGTTTAGGGTTTAGGGTTTAGGGTTTAGGGTTTAGGGTTTAGGGTTTAGGGTTTAGGGTTAGGGTTTAGGGTTTAGGGTTTAGGGTTTAGGGTTTAGGGTTAGGGTTTAGGGTTTAGGGTTTAGGGTTTAGGGTTTAGGGTTTAGGGGTTTAGGGTTTTAGGGTTTAGGGTTTAGGGTTTAGGTTTAGGGTTTTTAGGGTTAGGGTTTAGGTTTAAGGGTTAGGTTTAGGGTTTAGGGTTTAGGTTTAGGGTTTCTTGTTTCTTGGGTTCAGGGTTTAGGGCTTCTGGGGTTCCGGGGGGGGGGGGGGGGGTAGGGTTTTAGGGTTCAGGAGCTTGGGCTTTATTTAGGGTTTCAGGGCGGGAGTCAAGTTAGACCAGGCTGGTTCAAAGTCACTCATGCGACGGTTTCTGGCGTTTGGCGTCAGAGGGCCCGACAAGTCCACAACTCCCCGCAACCCATAGAGACAACAAGGGACAGATACAACCCAACCCTAAACCCTAAACCCTAAACCCCAACTCGAGGTGCAGCACACCCTAAAACCTAAACCCTAAACCCTAAACCCCAAACCCTAAACCCTAAACCCTAAACCCTGAACCCTAAACCCCCCCAAGGCAAAAACTGGGTCTCAAGGCGTGTCGCAGGCCCGGGCACTGGGGATGCGCTTTGGCCAGGAGCTGCTTCAGCCTGGCTTAGAACGGGCTAGGGTTTAGGGTTTAGGGTTTAGGGGTTTAGGGTTTGGGGTTTGGGGTTTGGGGTTTAGGGTTTAGGGTTTAGGGTTTAGGGCTTAGGGCTTAGGGTTTAGGGTTTAGGGGAGTTGGGCTCCGGGTGGGGACCCCGGCCTCATCTCGGTGTCCCACTTCAGGTCCGGCGACGCCAAGTTGGGGTGCGACAGGCCTTGGGGCAGAACCCGGCTTCAGGGTTAGGGTTTAGGGTTTAGGGTTTAGGGTTCAGGGTTTAGGGTTTAGGGTTTAGGGTTTAGGGTTTAGGGTTTAGGGTTTAGGGTTTAGGGTTTAGGGTTAGGTTTAGGGTTTAGGGTTTAGGGTTTAGGGTTTAGGGTTTAGGGTTTAGGGTTTAGGGTTTAGGGTTTAGGGTTTAGGGTTTAGGGTTTAGGGTTTAGGGTTAGGGTGCCCAAAGCCCTGGAGAACGCAAGTGATTTGCGGCTTAGGAAACTTCAAGGCTGCCCACAGTCCCTCCCAAAAGAGTGACAAGGTTCAAGGGGTTTTGGATTTTGGGTTTAGGGTTTGGCGTTTGGGGTTTAGGGTTTAGGGTTTAGGGTATAGGGTCCGCCGACCCTGGCGGCGTTTTGGATGGGTTTGAGGAGGTGAAAACCTCCCTCTTTCCCTCCTTACCCCCAAAAGGGGGGGGGGGGGGGGGGGGTAGGGGGGGTCGGTGCACAATTTTTTCGTGCGAGCGGGTTTAGACCTCTCAACTATGCTCCAGCGGGGTCGGCGGCTTGAGCCGGAGGCTCTTAAATTTAGGGTTTAGGGTTCATGGCGGGAGCATGCTCATGAGGGAGAGGACCTGCCACGTAACCAACTTCAGTGTCTCTCGGGAAACCCAAACTCCTGCATGAATTCGGCGGGACGACGCCCGGCACTGAATGCTTACCACAAGTCTGGGGAGGCACAAAGAGTTGGTTCAAGCTGCTACGCTCGAGAACGCAACCTCTGCTTTTGGCTCCGCACTGCCCACCACTTCTTGCTGCAAAGGCTCATGGCCCCTCACCCTCACTGATTCTTGAAACCGGCTGTTCCCCCTGCCCTGTCTCTAACGGCTTGCAACGTTAGGATTCTCAGAAGTTGGATCCTTCGTATAAAGGACCCCAAAACGAGACCACATGTCTAAATCACATGCGTATCTGGACCTGTCCAGCACATCCTGCTGCTACTTTCAAAACAGCGCGTCATGATGAGAACTACTATATTATTGCTGACTACGGTCTCTGCTGCCGTTCCCGTTGCAGCATGATGTGCTTATTGTTCCTTGCTGTTTCTGTGGTCCCACGTCCGAATTATGGCAGACCATCAGGCCCCTGTTGGACCCCATAGTCATCATACCCACACACCCTCATCAATCACAAAGCACCGGTAGTGAAGCGCGGTACTGACGATGGTACTAGATCCAACCTGAGACTATTGGGTGCTATAGTCCCCCAGTCCCACGGGCAAGAGTTCTGCTATCCGCTTACATGTAGAACCGGTGAGTGAGTTGAAAGGGAGTAAGGATATGTGAATGCCCCCAATTTGCCACTGTGCTCGGTTCCATCGCATGATCACACATGCCATCACTGCGATTCTGGAGGCGAAATCCCACCGAGAAACAGCTTGCCGTCCTTGAACCAGCCGTTTTCCTGCCTACCATCGGCATGCTTCAAGAGCCCTGGGCCGTGGAACTGGTCATAGGCAAACTCGCCAACATACTGCGCACCATCAGGCATCGTGAGGCGCCCCTGACCATGATACTGCCCCCGAAAAAACTGGCCTGTGTAGCGTTCACCACCGGGAAACTCCAGAATGCCATCCCCGTCGAACAGGGCCTGCTTGAACGTTCCCCGGTACTCCTTGCCACTGACCTCCTTCAGCCAGCCTTCACCCTCGTACTGGCCATCGACGAGGTGGCCCAGGAACCAGGAGCCGTCAGAGGACTCAAGAATGCCATGACCGTGATGGAGCTCACCATCCTTAAACCGACCCCTAGACTGCTCACCGCAAGCATGGGTCAAGGTCCCCGGGCCATGGTAGTGGCCGCGCGCAAACTCGCCGACGTACATGGTTTTCCTTGTATTCCCGGTAGCACTCTTGAGTGTCAGGCGGCCGTGGCCATGATAGTGGCCGTCGATGAAGTGGCCTTCATACTCATGTTTCCCGGCGGCATCTGTGTAGGTCAAGCGGCCCTGACCATGGTATTGACCCGACCGCCGCTGTCCTGCATACTCAAGGCCTGTGAGAGGCTGCTTCACATCATCGAAGCTGTCATGGTGGCCATGGGCATAGTCTTTCGCCCCCACAGCCCTGTAGATCTTGTTAACATAGACCTTGGCGGAATGCTCGTTGTGTGCTGCCATGAGCCCCCCCCATTCCAAAACCCCATAGTAGGTGTCAGGGACAGAATCGTCCTGAGGCCGCTCATGTCCAAGAAGCTTCTTGGCATTGGCACGGCCAATGGTCTCATAGCCACCACCAGGAACCAAGAGACGCGTGGTGCAGATCGGCGCGTAGACACCAAGACCCATATCTTGCTTTAGCAACATCCGAAAATCCACGGGCGCTCCGCCAAGGTCAAGGAGCTTGGACACAGTCCAAGGGACCCGGTCCACCAAACGTTGGACGAAGTCCAAGTTGCCTGGCAGTCGGGGCACGAGGTCATTATTCCGAACATAGTTGGTGCAGCGACGCTCCATCCATTGCAGCGCCTGGGCTTGTGCTAGCACAACACCGGCGGCGGCATCACCGTTCTCCGTGTGAATCTGCTGATGACTTGTGGGGCTGAATGGCTGCGGGGCTGCCACGGTGATGCATTGCAGCCCGGAGAGGAGCTTGCTGGCTTTGGGATCCTCCCACAGCTTGTGGTCCGTGTAGGCCACCAAAGCCGCCACTTGGGCCAAGGCCCCGCCCAAGCTGTGGCCAGTAAACAGGATGGCATCTAAGCCTTTACCAGAGGCCTCCTGAATGATGGCTGACCTCAGCCTGTTGACATATTCTGGGAATGTACTTGCCGCCTTCCAGCCGGCATGTACACCAAGGCCGATGCTCTTGAACTTGTCATAGTCCGGCAAAGCCCCAGCGTTGGCAATCCAGTCGCGTGCCGTTGTAGTCCCACGGAAGGTCACGGCGAGAACTCGGTACCACTCCTCCTCTCCCTGCAGCTCTACAAAGAGGCTGTCACAACGCATGCTGGACAATCCTGTGGGCTCGATGCGGGCTGCGAGGGTGTATGAGACGTTGACTCTGGATTCGTTGATGTCGATCCAGGGTGGCAAGACGTCCACCGTGGGCTCCCCATCGTAGATCCACTCGGCCAGGCGGGCCGCAAGGGCATGAAAAGCAGCTACGACAATGGGCCTCATGGTGATGAGACTGCAGCCCTGTGCCCTCGACCTGAGCCTCAAATCCCACTCAGACTGGCAGGTTCTTGATGCGAACTACTTCAGGTACCAGGGGAACACCTTAAGCCACACCCCTGCAAAAAAAACGGCAGCTTCACTGGGAGAATGAGGAAGTCGTCTTTACAGGACTCACCACGCACACGAACATCTGAGCCTTTCAAGGGACGCTATCCCGGCTTGCCTGCGTCAGCTACAATCCTTTTAACGCTTCCCGTGTCATTCAAAGGTCATCACGGCCTTTTTCGGGAACATCTACCGGGAGTCACAACAGAAACCCCAAA